AAAAGATGGAGAAACTCATCCACCATCATTCCCTTCTCCCAAGTGTTCACTCCTCTCCAGAATCGGCCTTCTCTGGGTTGCTTTCCAGTGCCTTTAGGTAGTCATATTTTCATATTTTGTTTCTGAATAAGGGTCTGTTTGAATGGAGTTATTCAGAAATGACCAGAATTGGATATATTTTCAAGTTAGAATGTGGGGTTTGAGAGAAATATAATTTTACTCCAAGAAATATGACCTGGAAATTTGTAAAGATAGAGTTAGTGCCAATCGAGTTGGAGAAGACTGGGGATGGTACAAATATTTTTTGGGGAAAAAAATCAGAAGTTCAGTTGTGGACATGTTGAGTTTGAGAGGTTTGCTGAGTAGGCTATTGGATATTTAAGTATTGAGTTTAGGGGATACATATGGGCTAGAGACATGCATATTTTTGGAATTGTCAGCATATACATTTCATTTAAGGTCTGGGTGAGATTATTGAGAGAGTAAGTGTGGACACAGAGTTGAAGACCAACGACTGACCACTGGGGCACTTCAAAATTAAGTTGGGTGAAGAAGAAAAACCAGCAAAAGTCCAAGAAGCAGCAATTAGCATGGAGAGGCTGGGTGCAGTGGCTTATACCTATAATACCAGTACTTTGGGAGGCTAAGGTAGGAGGATCTCTTGAGGCCAGGAGTTTGAGACCAGCCTGGGCAACATAGTGAGACCCTGTCTCTACAAAATTTTTTTCAAAAATTGAAAATAAAAAATTTTATCAAAGAAAAAAAAAATGAGAGAAACCCAGAGAGAATGTGAGGAAAATGTAACAAGGAGAAGGAAATACTGCCAATAGGTCAATTATGATGTGATCTCGGAACTGATTTAGCAGCATGGAGGTCTTTGGTAATCTTGATGAGAGCAGTTTTGTTTTGATTTGTTTTTGAGAGAGAACTTATTCTGTTGCCCAGGCTGGAGTGCAGTGGTGCAATCTCAGCTCACTGCAACCTCTGCCACCTGGGTTCAAGAGATTCTTCTGCCTCAGCCTCCCGAGTAGCTGGGATTACAGGTGTCAACCACCACACCCAGCTAATTTTTATATTTTTAGTAGAGACAGGGTCTCACCATGTTGGCCAGGCTGGTCTCGAACTCCTAACCTCAAGTGATCTGCCCGCCTTGGCCTCCCAAAGTGCTATGATTACAGGCATGAGCCACCATGCCCGGCCGAGAGCAGTTTTAATGCAGTGATGGGGGTAAAAACCTGACTGGAGTGGGTTTAGGAGAGAATGGGGAGTTAGGATTGGGGTACTGCAGGGTTTATTTAGAAATGTGGTGTAATGATAAGGATGAGGACATTACGAAGGCAGGGCTCAGAAAAACATGATGTTTAGAATCACGAAAGATGGAAGGGAAGCTAGAAAGACTCCCAGGGAAAGCTCACTGGGCTGTAAGGATCTTGAAATGTGTCAGAGCCTGTGTGGTGGGATGAGGAAGTGAAAAGGGCAGGAGGAGGTAAGGCGACTGTCGCTGGAGTGGTGCCCTGATGTATTTCCACAGTGTAGCAGTTCTGTGTGATGATGAGGCCCAGGATAAGCCGTGGGAGTGGGTGGCAGTGAAGGAGCTAGGAGACTTGAGTTAGATGAGCATGCATGCTGACAGTTAAACCATGCAGTGTGCTGGGAGGGTCTGCAGTGGAGAGAAAGATGGGATCACAGGATCTAGCTGTCAGCTCTTGATGAATATGGGGAAGCAATTGGGAGATGGGAAGATGTCAGCATGGAGATGAGATAGACATGATATAGCTGGATGATAAAAGCCTCATGAGAAAGGGGGGTTCCATGGAGGTAAAGGAGTGATGGTTTTGAGGTATTACTCTAACCATCCCCGTGCCTCTTGGTGCTGACATGGGGAAAAAACATTCTTGAGAGATTAGGGCTTTGGGAGAAAGCAAGGCTGCAGCAGCTTTATTACTCTTAAAAACACTAGCGGGATGATTTCTGCTCTATCATTCAAGCCTTCAATAAAATTAGTCAATAGCAAATCCTATTCACTTCTAGAGCTGTTGCTGCTTGGCATTCTCTGCTTATAATGTATTTGCAAAATGCTTGTATAGAGTTTTCTTTTACTTAACTTTTCAGGGTTAGTGGTAAGCCAACGAGCAAACGTGTTCCCTCCACAAAGCCTTCTCTTCACTTCCCATTCAAAGAATTACGACGTCCCCCATGCCACCTTCTGCCCAGTCTCCCCTAGTGCTCAGCTCCCTTCAGGATGAAGCCCTCCTCCACAGTCAGGTCTTGGCTTAATGCCACCTTGGAAATAGACCTTTCCTGATCTATCCTGGTCCTGGAGGAGTCTGCTCCTCTCCTCCCAGACCTGGTCTTCTCTCTTTCAGCACACTCTTCTTTTCTTCATAGAACTTACTCCAACATATAATTTATTTATGTGGTTCCCCTTTAAACAATCTACTTCTCTCATTATAGTATAATTTCTCTAGGAGCAGGGTCAAGTTCATTATTGTATTTCCAGTACCTATCATAGTGCTTAGCATGTAGCAGACATTCAATAAATATCTGTTGGGCAGGTATTAGTATCTCCAATTTATAAATGACAAAACTGAGACTCAGAGAAAGTAGCAAGCTTAGATCCCAGCCCAGTTCATCCAACCTTCCTATTTCTGCAATTCCTCTTTAGATTGGGAAATGGCTTATTCTCTGTCTTAATTCATGATGGTGGATTAAAGATGGCTACACATTCTTTATCACATCCTCTATTGAGAGGTGATGCTTATTTTCCTACTCATCAAATCTGGGCTGGTCCTAAGACTGAGGTGACCAAGAACATGCTGCAGAAGCAAAGTTGTGCCAGTCCCAGGCTAGGCCTTGAAGAGGACTTTGGCTTCCCCTTCTTGGAACACTTATTGTTGGGATCGCTGAACTGCCTTGTGAGACTATCTTTCTGGAGAAACCACATGGCAATACCACATAGAGAGACCCTGAGACCACATGGAGAGGGAGAGAGGCCCAGCTGTCCTGGCATTTCAGTAGAACCCCTAGATGACTCCAGGCCCAGGTGCCAATCAACTGCAACTACAAGAGAGATTGCAAATGAGACTAGCAGAAGAACCACCCAGCTGAGCCCTTTTATTTCACAGAACCGTGAATTACATTAAAATAATTGTCGTTTTAAGCATGGTGAAAACTATGGTGGGGCAGGAGAGGCCCCTGGGGCAAAAAACGCAATGAGGTGCTCACTCTCTGGGCTGACCCTGGGAGTGAGCACCCCCTTAAATTGCTCTAGGACCCCCACTTGCTTCACCCTAGTCCTAGGACCTGGTTTTCAGCTGCTATGTTTTGGTTGTTTGTTTTTTTTTTTTTGCTCAGCTATGATAGATAATGGAAACACTCATGGTACCTGGCACAGAGTAGATACTCAGTGACCCACACTGAGCAATTAAGCTGATGATCACAACTCCCAAGTGACATTGTTTTCACCAGAATATCTGGCCCTGCAATATTTTGTATCCAAACTTTCTTGAATACATTATCCTATAGATTTCCCACATCTTTCCTTATAGTTCTGAACTCTTGTCATTTTCTCTACTTCAGCAAACATTTACTGAGCATTTACTTTGGGCTCAACACTGTTCTAGGTGCTCTGGGATGTATATGGGGCCAGGGGAGACACAAAATGAGTAGGATGAGGATCCCGCACCTCCAAGGAACTGACCACTGACAGACACAGCCTGCTGTGAACAGCTGAGATAGCAGAGGTGGGAGCCAAGCACCGTGGGAGATCTGGGTGGCAGAAGGGGCTGGAGGTTATTGTACTGGAATTGGGGGACTGGAGGAATCTGTGGAGGGAGCACACTTGTGCTGAGTGTAGAGATGAAGGCAGTTTTGACCAGCAGCCATGAGAGGGCAAGGCTGGGCACCATGGATCACACCTGTAATCCCAGTACTTTGGGAGGCAGAGGCGGGAGGATCATTTGAGCCCAGGAGCTCGAGACCAGCCTGGGCAACATAGTGAGACCCTGTCTCTACAAAAACAAAACAAAACCCCCCCCCACAAAACACTATGAGAAGGCAGAACAGAGAGGACAACAGCTCAGGCACAATTGCTCTGCTCACTTCGACCTTTTGGTTTTGTGTTCTCCTCCTTTCATCCTCTTCCCCCAATCTTTTGGAAGAATCAAGTGAAAAGGGTGTTTATGTAGATCTCTCCAACTCCTACCTAAACAGTCTTACTCTGTGGGCTCCTGCCTTTCTGAGCAGCTCAGTGATGTTTTCCTGGTTAACGGCTAGTCCTCTACCACCATCCAGCTTTATGGTCCTTTAACAAAATGATCTAAACAGACTTGATCCATTGCTCCTGATCTGTAGATATTCCCTAAAGCCTGACTCATTCAAAGTAAATTTGGGGAAAGCTCACCTGAGTTGATGATAGGGTTCAGCTGTGTCCCCATCCAAATCTCATCTTGTATTGTAATAATCTCCACGTGTCAAGGGCAGGGTCAGGTGGAGAAAATAGAATCACGAGGGATGTTTCCCCCATACAGTTGTCATGGTAGTAAATAAGTCTCATGAGTTCTGATGGTTCTAAAAATGAGAGATCCCCTGCACAAACCCTCTTGCCTGCCTCCATGTAAGACGTCTCTTTGCTCTTCCTTTGTCTTCTGCCATGATAGTGAGGCCTCCCCAGCCATGTGGAACCGTGAGTCCATTAAATCTCTTCCCTTTATAAATTGCCAGTCTCGGATATGTCTTTATTAGCTGCGTGAGAACAGACTAACACAGTTGGTGAAACGCCTGCGTTGAGTACCATGTTCGAAGTTCCTTGCACAACCAGGTTTCCCCATTCTCAGGAAGGGAGGCCGGGCAGACATTCAGGCTGGACCTATTTTAACTTAATTCTCTATAATTGGTAGATGGGTTGTCTGCAGAAAAGGATGACTAGGCGTTTTCAAATGGAATGATCTTCTCTGTAGGTTAAACATTTACCTTCTGCTTTGCAAACACAGTTAATTTGCCTGGGTGAACTCTCTTCCCTCATGCAGAGTGTGGAGGCAAATTCCTCTCTGAATTCCTAGTGAGTGCAGTCCAAGTGCTGGAGGGTGAGGATGAGAAGCTGGGTTAGAATCTGGAGGAGGGGACAACTTATCCCAGCCAGCAAAGGCAATGGGAAACAGGCAGAACCTGTAGCCCAGTTCATCTCTGTGGTCACCTGCATGGCACCAGGAAAACAGGTGAGTAAAGCCTTTTCAAACCTTTAGAGTCCATTGGGGATATCAAGGTCCCCTGGGAAAGAATCCCCATATTTTGGGGCCCATGGTTTCAGGCTCACTGAAAATCCCATGGACAATAAATATCAATATGAACATATACGTTACGCTTTTTAATTTTTAGGTTTACATGACTCTCCTTTTATCCTTAAATGTCTAACTGAATTTCACCATGAAGAATTCATGGAAGGCTCAGTAGACTCACCAGCCGTCCTCATTTGTGGAACTGGGAGAAGGATCCATGACATTCTCCTCCTTTCAGCCTCTCCTCCCTTGGGCAGGGATTGCAAACTCACTGCCTTCGGGCCCAGGCAGGTGTCCTAAATAAATGAGCTCAGTGGAGGATGGGCCTGTGGCCAATTGAGGCCCTCAGCTCCCAGACAAGGGAAACATGACTTGCAGATCCTTGCCTGTGGGGAACAGGCCCAGTGTACCGGTGGCCAGATCTTATGATTTTAGTAACATGAGATGGATTTTCCCTTGAAATCAGCAGAAAAACACTGACAGATGAAGCAAAACGTGCCTGTGGTTGCTGCTGGGCTGCCAGGTTGGGGGAGGGAGCTGGGGTCTGGATTCGAGTCCTCTCAAGCCTCTGGCTGTGGTATGTTGGCCAAGTCACGTCCTTTCCTGGGCCTTATTCTCCTTATCTGTAGAGTCATGACTCTGGAAGATTTCGTCTCTAAGATGTTGTTTCATTTCAGGACTCTGAACCCCAGTATGCAGTGTGACATATACTCTACTAGGAGGTCAAAAATTGATGTTGAATTAATGAGAGAAGGAATTATTCATCTGGACTTTTTTGCAAAGACAATTAACCTGGGAAGAAAGTCTCAGACAAGCCCTTCCTTTTTCTGAGCAAATTCTTTATTGTTTTCTAATTTTTCCTTTGGTGCTTTTTGTCCCCTAGACTTTGGCTTCTTTATTTCCATTAAACCCCAGAGTTTGGAAAAGCAGACCCTCAGACTCCACAGCAGAGCTCCAGAATGCTGCCCCAGGTTGGACTGGATGCACTTTCTTTGCCAAAGCTTCTGTGGTGGTCCTGATGCACTCCCGTGGTCAAGGGTCACCCACCTGAAGACCTGCACCCCTCCACATCCGCTGAGCATGAATCTCCATGAGAGCAGGACTCCACTGAAGCAGAAATCCAGAGCCAAGAAAGACACAGGGTTTCCGGGGATGGCATTAGCCCAGGGCCCTGTTCATTGTTTTGTGGATGTGGAAACCAAAGCCAGAAGGACAGGTGACTTGCTCAGGGGCATCCCCTCCAGGAGATCACATGGCACCTGTACCTTCTTGCAGAATCCTGTGCAAAGGAAGTCAGCCCTGATGGGGTAAGATTCTAAAGATGTTATAGATTAAGCTGGGTTTTCCCTGGTATCCATGGAATTGCAGAATTTTTAAACTGAAGGGACTTCAGGAAGAAGGACAACTGGGAAAAAGGAGTCACCTATACTGTACCACCCACCCCCCTGAGAGATTTATTTCACTTAATCTTCGGATTAAATGAAGCATTATTATTTCATGTTTCCAATGAGAGAATGACGACTCAGGTGATGAAGGTAAATTCCCCCAAGATCATATAACGTGTAAGTTGCAGAACTAGGACTCAAACTCACAATCTTCTGGCTTCAAGTCACCACTCCCTGAGAGGAATCTAGAGACAGTCTATCTACCAGGTTCATTTTCTTCACTTGTTAGGTGAACAAATGTGGTCTGCAGAGCTCAATGGCTTCACCAAGGTCAAGAGTGAGTGAATGGCATGGCTGGGGCTGCTCTGGTCCATGTGTTTTCCATGCCAGAGGGTGGCCTCCTGGAGTTCTTTGGTGATGCCTCTAGCTCTGGGTGACACCAGGCTGGTGGAGGCAGATCATATGGACCAGGGATGGAGACCCTCATGCCACTGCTCCCTCTTCATGGCATCCCAAGCTCCAGGAGTCCCTTTGGATCAGACCAAACCACAGTCACCTTCCAGAAGGAGCCACTGGGGTGGCCATCAAAGGCTGGGGACACACAAGCTTGGGGCAGTGGTCCAGGGGTAGAGGCCTCCAGTCTTAGGACCTTCCCCTCCTCATGGCCCCTGGGTCTCTCTTCTTACTTTGGGGTGCTGGCTTTTCCTTTGCTGGTTAGAACTGTGGTCCATGGATTTCACTCAGGGCCACCCCAAGGGAGGAGTGATGAGGGTGACCCAGTTCCTCATTGCCGGCCTCTCCACCCTCCACTGCCTGCCTTGCTCCGTAACATTTCTGTGAGCTTCCAGCACACACCAGCAGCGAGCCCATCTTCTGATTAGTTTCAGCCTGGTAAGTCCTTCCTGCCGCTGAACCACCTGTCTCCCGAGAGGACCTACAGCCAACGCCTCCCACACCAGATGGCCACCCCCTCCTGCCCCTCCGTAGTGTTCCAGCCAAGGCCAGGCCCGGCATGGACAGAAGAGGACCTGAGTGGCTGCGGCCAAGGTCAAAGTGGCCATCTGGACACAGGTATCAGCAGTGTGGAGGGGCTGCCCCAGAAATGACTTTAGCGGGGGAGATGTTTCTCAGGCATTCAGCTCTTGGTTTTCTATTGGTCTCCCTTCAAAATTGCCCCAGCAGGTAGGCAGAGCACCTGATGGATGCCTTCAGCAGCACCTCCTTGGTCAGGGTGAGTCTTCCCTCAGTAACCCCTGCGGGAAAATAATCCTATTTCTTTTTCAGCTAGAAGCTTGAGCACCGGGGACCCCGACTCTGCTTATTCAAGGCCCATGAGGCATGATACTCAAGTTCACGGTCAGCAAACTCCCTGTTCAAACCACAGCTCCTCTTCCCCAGATTCTACCTGCCCCCATTCTGAGTTCTGAATTGTTTCCAGTGCCATCATACCTAAAGACTTCCTTTTAGCTATTCGACTTGCCCTCCCATGGTGGGTCAGTCAAATTAAAATGTGGGGTACATTATTGTACGAAATGTTTACAAAATAGAAAACCGAAGAAGAAACTATGCTTTGTTTTCTGAACAGTTTGAAACCTAAACAGATTTCTTTTCAATTCTCTTATTTTTCTATGTGTACACAAGAAGGCCATTGAGATGGCCTTGCAAGAAGCTTTAGACCAGACCCTCTCCCTTCAGGTCCTGTTGGTGGTTATATATTCTGAATTTTTTTCTTAAAAAAACAAAAAGCCAGAAAAACCCCACTGCATTCTGTGTTTCCAAGCCATCACAACCCATTTCTTATTCTAAGCAAGTGAACAAACATTTGTCTTCAAGGCCAAGATGTCAGTGTTTTAAAAAAAGTGTTTTAGAAAAGAAAATGCAAACCCATAACTCCAAGCCTAGGCAAGGACAGCTACATGCGTTAGCTAATGCATAATTGCAGACTATTCCCTGCTTTTTCCTTATGCTTTTATTACCCCCAAAAGGAGCTCCAAGTGAAATATTAATAATATTACTACTGTAATATTATTACACATTATTACCTCCGCAATGGTAGCTGCAGAAGGGCAGCTTTGTTTTCATTCCAATGTGACCTACATTGGATTCATTTTTCCAAAATGGCACCAGAAATGTCTTATCCATTTCCTCAGTAACTGGTGAAATAGAACAAATAAGACTGATCATTTTCTTCTATGAGAGATACATTTGAGTAAAGCAATCTTGTGCCTATGGGGGATGGTGGGGGAAATTGGCATAAGTGAATTAAATGTTGGACTTGCAGTTCTATTGGACTTCAGACAAACATCTATGCTGATTGAACACTGATTTGCTGGCATTCCTCAAATCACAGTTCTGCCATCTCAGCATCCCAACTCTTGCAATCTTTTCCATGTGCTTCTTTATGGATGGGCAAATCACCTGACCGTAGCTGCCTGGAACCAAGCTGGCATTGCAGTTTTGCCATTCTTATTCAGTGTCATCTGATGCCTGCCGTCACTTGCCAGCCTCATTTACGCATTGCCAGTTCTGGGGGGGGGAATCAAATCTAATTTGAGCACTATTTTATCTGCTTATTTTACCCACAGATGTGAGTCCATTTTTCTGTAGATTATATAAGTATTTAAGCTTTCATTCCAACTGTTTGTCAGCACTTACTACAACAGACAACCAACTAGACAACCCCCACAGTGCCAGAAATACCTTTGCGTGAACCTTATTATCAAAAATAGAATGCAATCAAGACCAGTGGAGGTTACAGTAAAGTCACCAAAAATGACTCAAACGTCCCTCTGAGCTAGCTCCTATGTTCTGAAAATATGTGGTGGGTGGAACGAGTCTTTTATATTCCCAGATTTGGCTCCTCCAAGTGAAATATTAATATTATTACTGTTGCATTTGGCAATATGAAGAAGCTTCCAGTAATAAGCTGAACAGACAAAGACATCTGTATTCACTGCAGGTTTTCAGAACCACAATTTATGTGGTCATGTAGGTGTGAGTCCCCGGGCACATAAGTTGATCAGGGAGTTACTGAAACCCTTGAGGATAACTCATTCACTCAAAGGAAGAATCACTGGGGAAAGTGAATAAAGCACTATGTCAGCAAAACGTTGCTACTGTGAATCAGGACTCAGTTACTCTTTCTGGCTGGATGATCTCAGATGCAAATGACTTAATGTGGGTATCCAGGAAGTCAATGGGTAGAAATATGACATTTCATAGGTGTAAAGCCTATGTCTCTGACTGCACGCAATTTTAGTCTGATGAATGCCTATGGTTTTCTGGTGGGCTTTGTGAAGTGGGTTGCCTTGTGGTATTGGAGCTTATGCTCCGCAAGGGTTTCAAGAACTTCCTGATCACTGGAAGCTTCTTCATATTGTCAAATGCAACAGTAGTAGTAGTATTAATACTTCATTTGGAGGAGCCAAAATTGGGAACATAGAAGGCTCATTTCACCCACCACACACTTTTAAAACGTATGAGCTAGCTCAGAGGGACATTTGGGTAATTTTTGGTGACTTTACTGTAACCTCCGCTGCTCTTGATTGCATTCTATTTTCGATAATGAGGTCCGTGCAAAGGTATTTCTGGCACCATGGGATTGTCTGTTTGGTTGTCTGTTGCAGTAAGTGCTGACAGACAGCAAGATGGGAAAGTGATGATTGCAGTGGCCTGTTCCGCAGGGAGACCAAGAGGAAGACTGATTAAAGACCAACAGAGCGAGGAGCAGTGTGGGAGCAGCCCCTGCCCAATGGGCTTTGGTGGCCTAGAGCCATGAGAAGGTCCCTGCACCTCACCCTGCCACAATAGTGACCTTTAGGAAATTTAAGTTGCCCTGAACCCCATGCGCCCAGCTTGCCACATCCAAAAGTTAAGTACATAAGCTGAAGTTTGTGGTTCAGGTCTAAAACAGAGGCAGAAACAGTGGGGGTGGGGGGGGCAGTGAGGGTTGACTTTAAAACCTGAAGGGCCCTAGAAGGAGAGGGTTCTGGTGGGCAGAGGGCATGCAGGGGAACAGGACTGCCACCTCTCCACTCTGCATAACCCCAGGAAGCCTGGAAAATGGAGGCTCTTTGCGTAGAACCATCCTGGGTTCTCTCCATCCTCTTTATCACATAAGTCAGCAAGATGAATGAAGCAAGAAACCTCTGTGCTCCTCAGATGAAGCTTCTATCTGCTGATGGCATTGTTATTCTCATCTATGGCTGAGATGTCTGGGTGAGGGAATTTCTTCTGGATAAGAAGACGTCCTTCTTTTAGGGCCATTTGGGGTTTGTGTAGAGGTAATCCACTAAACAGAATTCTGGGCTCAGGAATGGGTTTCCCACCCATTAAATGCTTAAATCTTGAGGTTTGCTGGCTCCTGATGGCCGGCTCCTTCCATCTCTCTGGCTCCTAGGCCTGCTACTGGAGCTCTGGAGGACAGCACTGTCTCCCTACAGCAAGGGTTGGCAATCTTCTTCTGGAAAGGGCCAGATAGCAAATATTTTCAGCTTTGCGGGCCAATGTTTGTAGCACCTACTCGAATCTGCTGTTATTGTGTGAAAGTGGCCACAGACAACACACGAACGAGTGGACGGAGGGTATTAGTTTGCTGACTTCTGGCCCAGGTGATGTTGGTTAGTCAACTGGGTCAGGCAATAAATCCTCCATTTATTTAACGGATGTTGACTATTCATCTGCTCGGTACCAGACACACTTCCAGGTGTTTGAGATACATCAGAGAACAACACAGATGAAGGTCCCTACAGCTCTGCATTCTTGTAGCTTACATTTTAGTTGGGGGGGATGGACAGGCCCATGTGATGATTACCTGCTATGCATCTATTCTCCATCCTTCTCAACCGTTCTTCAGAGATGCTCGTGTCCCTGGTGGCCCATATGGATAGCATCTTCCCATGGGGTCCATCCTCCAACATCATGCCCCCAATGTTTTCCCATTCATCAAGCCAATGAGAGGCACAGGCATGGGCATTTTTAATTTCTCCTTCTTATCAGATAGTCAATTATACCAATTTAAATGTATATTGGTATATTAATACTATAGCTACATACATGTTGTGTTTCTAAGCAATATAGTTGTTCTCAGGAGACTCTATTGGAGGCCTGAGGATCTGAATGCTTGAGCATGGAGTTGGACTGACTTGGGTGTTAAAGTTACTTCACTTCTTGGAGCTTCCATTTTCTCACCTGTGAAATGAAAATAATAGTAAAACCGCCAACCCATAGGGTAGTCATGAGGATGAAGTGTAATAACACCGGGAATGTACAGGACACAGTACTTGTCCTGTAGCCTGACTCATAGAAGAACCTCAATGAATGGTAGTGATAATCAGTATGTAACGCATGGTATGGTGTAGGTCATGTTGGTGAGTTACATTCATTATTGTGCCTACTCTGAACACACTCTTTTGTATGATGAGTACAGTAGGCCCAAGGGCAGCTGCAAGAAAAGAGATTCAGTTGGCTTTGTTGCAAATGTGTCTTGTATTGATCCCTGAAGGGGCCATTAGAAAAATCTGACTCCCCTTCCTGAGAAAAATCCCAAACAGATTCCCACAGCCCACCAATCCTGAGACAACTCCTCTCGTCCTGAATCCTCTTTTTAACTGCTGGGTAAGTGCCAGACCAAGGACCACTTTTGTGGTGGATAGTGCCATCTGCTCTATGTGGAAGGAAAAATGGCACAACTGAGAATAGATACGTGGATTTCTACACACTGGTCAATGACCTTGGCAACTGGTTGGCACTGGAAGAAAAAAGACAGAAAAATAAGAGATAAGGAGGGCTGGTGTGGACAAGTGTGAGTGGGCAGAGTGCTGAAGATTTTTGTATCACGTATTAATGCCCACCAGAAACATCCATTGTAGATAAAGAACTGGAAAACAAGGTAGACAAATGACTTGGCTAGTTGACATTAACCACACTTCATCATTGGTCACGCAGAAGCAAGAGTATAAGCGCGTGAATGGAGGGGCCATGGTGGCAGAAGTGGAGGCTATGCATGAGCTCAAAAGCGCGGACTCAACTTAACGAGATAATTCTAGCTATTGCTTCCTCTGAATGTCCAGCCTGCAGCCACAGAGACCCACGTGGAACCTCTGGTATGGCACTACTTCTAGAAGAGACCAGACACTTGGAGGCAGGTCAGCTTCTTTGGGCCCTGGCATTCTGGAATGGCCAATGATTCATCCTCAAAGGGAGACATTATTCCAGGTATGGGCTGCCTTTATTGTCCACAGAGCCTCAGCCAGCACTGTTGTCTGATGGCTTATAGAAGGCCTGGTCCACAGGCCTGAAATCCCACCCACCATAGCATTCAACCAAGGGACCTGCCTCTTAGGGAGGGGAGTGTGGAAGTGAACTGGTGGCTTATATTACATACCGTACCATCCAGGAGCAGCCAGCCTCAGTGAATGCTGGGACAGCCTTCTAGAGGCACAGCTGTAGTGCCAGCTCAAGGGGAACCCTCTGGAAGGATGGGTGCCAGACTTCAGGACACAGTATGCACATTCAGAGACCTGTAGATGGCTGGTCCTGTCTCTCCAGTAGGAAGAATGCATGGTTCCAGGAACTGACAAGTAGAAGCAGTCATGGCTCCATTGACTATCACGCCCAATGACTGACTGGGGAACTTTGTGTTTCCTGCCCCCACCACTCTGGGTTCTCTTTAAAAAAAAAGTTGCAGCCTGACAAACACTACCCCAGCCAGGTGATCAAGGTTAACAGCAATAGTGAAAAGTGATACAGAGAGCATGCGCCCTTGAAATGACGCGATGCGAGGGTCACTTTACCTCCCCAAAACACGTAACCCCAGTCTAGTCAGGAGAAGAACACCAGGCAAATGTCAATACAGGGGCATCCTACAACATCACTGACAGTGCTCCTCAAAACCCTCAAGATCATCAGAAACAAGGAAAGCCTAAGAAACTGTCACAACCAGGAGAGATGGTGACACCTCATCGAAGGAGATGTAACGACCAAATGTGATGTCCTGGATGGGATCCTAGGACCAAAAAAGGACATTAGGGGGAAACTGCAGAAATCTGAACAATTTTTTATCACTCTTCAGTTACCTGAATTCTAATTTAGTTATGTAACAGTGAATGATTATTTAGTTAGTTGTGTATCAACATTGGTGTATTCAGATGTTGATAATAGAGGACACTGGGTGTGGGGTGTATGGAAAATATGTACTTTCTTCACAACTGTTGTGTAAATCTAAAACGGTTCTCCAATTAAAAGTTCAATTAAAAAAAAATTTCCTCATCCCCAAAGGAACAAGGGTCTTCTAAGGGTCTCACTGAACTAGAAGCTTTAGTGCTGTGCCTCAGGAGTAGTGTTCTTGGCTGGAGAACTGCCCCACGGGCAGGAGTCCCCCACTGCAAGGGATTTGCTTTTCCTTTCCTTCTTTTTGAAGATGCTTGGGAAACATGGTGCCATAGTGTAGGCATCCTGTGCTCTGGATCCTCTGCTGCCCTTACTTTCCCTTTACAGCCAACACAGGTCAGAGGACACGGGGCTTCCAGCCAGAGCTCGGGACCCGGCAGAACTGGTTTCATCAAATTCTGTGCTAGCTACCTGTGCTGTGGGAGCCACAAGGTTTTCTTTCTTTCTTTCTTTCTTTTCTTTTCTTTTCTTTTCTTTCTTTCTTTTTTTTTTTTTTAATTGAACCGGAGTCTCACTCTGTCATCCAGGCTGAAGTGCAGTGGCGAGATCTCGGCTCAACCTCTGCCTCTCAGGTTCAAGCAATTCTCCTGCCTCAGCCTTCCGAGTAGCTGGGATTATAGGTATGTGCTACCACGCCCAGCTAATTTTTGTATTTTTAGTAGACAGGGGGTTTCGCCATGTTGGTCAGGCTGGTCTTGGACTCCTGACATCAAGTGATCTGCCCGCCTCGGCCTCCCAAAGTGCTTGGATTACAGGCGCGAGCCACCGCGCCCGGCTTTTACCACTCCATTCTCACTTACTGCTTGGAATTCATTCCAATCTTCCTGTTGAAAACAGTCTTATTGGAGATTACTGATTTATGGTATAACCTGAACTGGCTGCTTTTTTTTTTTTTTTGGAGATGGAGTCTCGCTCTGTTGCCAGGCTGGAGTGCAGTGGTGTGATCTGGGCTCATGGCAAACTCTGGCTCCTGGGTTCAAGCGATACTCCTGCCTCAGCCTCCTGAGTAGCTGAGACTACAGGCATGTGCACCACACCTGGCTCATTTTTTGTATTTTTAGTAGAGATGGGGTTTCACCATCCTGGCTGGAGGATGGTCTCAAACTCCAGACCCCATGATCTGCCAGCCTTGGCCTCCCAAAGTGCTGGGATTACAGACGTGAGCCACTGTGCCCGGCCATGAACTGGCTACTTTCTAATATTGCTATATAACATTGTTCTGGGATTTCTTGATTAGTTTCATTACTGCCTATTTCTTACTTTCCCACTCCTTTTTCCTTTTTGGTTTTAACACTTTTTTTGTATGGCTGAAATTACATCCTTGATGCGTTTGCTTTTGAGGTCTTGGTCATGAAGTCTTCACCTAAGCCAATATCTAGGAGGGTTTCTCCAATGTTATCTTCTAGAATTTTTCCAGTTTCAGGTCTTAGATTTAAGTCTGATCCATCTTGAGTTGATTTTTGTATAAGGTGAGAGATGAGGATCCAGTTTCATTCTTCTACATGTGGCTTGCCATTTATTCTAGCACCATTTGTTGAATAGGGTGTCCTTTCCCCACTTTATGTTTTTGTTTGCTTTGTCGAAAATCAGTTGACTGTATTTGGCTTTATTTCTAGGTTATCTATTCTGTTCCATTAGTTTATATGCCCATTTTTATACCAGTACCATGATGTTTTGGTGACTAAGGCCTTATAGCATAGTTTGAAGTCGGGTAGTGTAATGCCTCCAGATTTGTTCTCTTTGCTTAGTCTTGCTTTGGCTATGTGGGCTCGTTTTTGGTTCCATATGAACTTTAGGATTGTTTTTTCTAGTTCTGTGAAGAATGCTGGTGGTATTTTGATGGGAATTGCATTGAATTTGTAGATTGCCTTTGACAGTATGGTCATTTTCACAGTATTGATTCTACCCATCCATGAGCTTGAGATGTGTTTCCACTTGTTTGTGTTGTCTATGATTTCTTACAACAGTATTTTGTAATTTTCTGTGTAGAGGCATTTCACCTCCTTCATTAAGTGTATTCCTAAGTATTTTATTTTTTTTTGCAGCTATTGTAAAAGGGGTTGAGTTATTGTTTTGATTCTCAGCTTGGTCACTGTTGGTGTGTAGCAGAGCTACTGATTTGTGTACATTAATTTTGTATCCTGCAACTTTGCTGAAATCATTTACCAGTTCTAGGAGCTTTTTGGAACAAAGAAACTAAAAAGCTTCTGCACAGCAAAAGAAGTAATCATGAGAGTAGGCAGACAACCCACAGAGTGGGAGAAAATCTTCACAATCTATACATCCAACAAAAGAGTAATTTGCAGAATCTACAAGGAACTCAAACAAATCAGCAAGAAAAAAAACCAAACAATCTCATTAAAAAGTGAGCTAAGGACATGAATACACAATTCTCAAAAGAAGATATACAAATGGCCAAAAAACATGTAAAAATTCTCAGCATCACTCATGATCAGGGAAATGCAAATCAAAACCACCTTACTCCTGCAAG